CATATTACCTAAATACATTGTGGAGAAACTGTATTACCACTTTATGTTGAAAAATATCCCGTGATAAATATAAGTAACTCTGAATAGTAACTCAGTGTTTTAATGCTTGTAGTATTGTTTTTGAAAATGGGATTGACGGAAGCATATAGTACAAATATAAATCAGCAAAGATTACTATTAGATTAAAGATAACAAAGAGCAACTAATATCAATTGAATTCACATTTAAAACCGCTTGATGAAATAATCTAGCCTGTTTTAAAGGCTTTTGGTGGCAGTAAAGAATCGTATGTCTAAAAAGGCGGTTGCATGAAATTCGGAGAGATGGTTCGTCAAATAAGTCTTTAATAAATTAGTACATTGGGACAGTAAATCAAACTATGGTTTTATGTTTCACTGATAGCCATGACCAAATTTTCTCTTCAGAAACTGTCTTAGAGAGCTAGATATTTTCATTTTAAAAAATATGTCTATGGTTTGCCGTTTATGACAAATGGATGAATACTTTTTATAAAAGTATCTGAGGTCCAATAGGTTTGGCACTAGCATTAATCAACAACACAGAAGGATATATTAACTTGCGTTACTGAGGTTGCATCTTACCTTTTATGGAGTAACTCAGGCTATCTACTAGTCAGCCGCGTGATCCGTGTAAAAATTTATGCATTTGGTCATATCCTTCACTGTTTGATTCTATTTTCGTACTGGTCAAAAGACAACTTAAACTAAAAGATAACCAATCCCATATAGTGTGATGACGATGAAACACAGATAAAACCTCTATTCAAGCGACGTTATTTCGAACTAAACTTAAGTCAACATAAACTTGTCATTTTAAGGAAAATCAAAAAGGAATCTGAGTGACACATAATATTAAAATACATTTCCCGGGAACTTTCAATTAATAATATCAGATAACCACCAAACTGGAGCTTTAGTTAAACGGTTATTTCCGTTAAGCCACTTAATAATATGATCGACGATAGCTTCGACATATAACAGTTATATAATATTCACCAAATATGTATGAAATCTTAGTTCATTCGCTTAGATTTTACAAATACATTCTTCCTCTTTAACCTTAATTTCATTACATATTCGTTAAGTACATTTGCTAGTTAACCGTGAACTTTCATTACAGGTATTTTCACAGATGTTTATGTCTGTTTGGCATGAATAAACATTTTGAACTAGTTGACCAATAGTTTATAAGTCACTCATCTTGAAACAACACTAGTTAGAGTATTTGTTATTTCTGAGAAAATATCGTTATCAATTGTATTGTTTCACCATCATATAGAAGTTCTTTGCCCGTTAAGTTCTCAAGGATTTTTTAGGTAAAAGTGGTTTGTGGAGATTATTTTTATTTGCAGAAGTCTTTGTCAGGAGCAGATATTGGTTTAAGTACCACTTAAATTTAGCCGCAATAATTGAAGATGCTGTGTTCGTTCTTTAATAGGGTCGCGTACTTTTACTGCGAGAGAATCTCATTCTAGGACGAAACACTTGTCCAGTGCTCCCTACTTATCAATGTTACATCAATTTAGATCAATCCACGGTAAAAATACTTAAAACAGAAAATTGCTTAGTTATGATTTTTATCCCATTCGATCTAAAGTGAATATTTTACGCCTTGGAGATATACCAGAAAATAGGTAGCTCGTATTACCGGATTTTAGATTAGTAGTCATCTGGTTTTGGGAAAAATGTATTTTTTTCATTTCGATAGATTGTTTAATAGCAAAGATATGAATGACCAGAAAGAGTAATTTTTTACTTATGAACAGTAAATTATATTGAACATGGCATAAGCTACTAGAGAAATAACTAGACTCTAATCTATGTGTTCGGCTTCTGAATCCCTTAGTTTATGCTTCAACACTAAATCTGTAATATGAAATTTTGATTTCTGCTTGCAGTACAAATGTATGCACTATTCATACAAATATGGTAAATGTGATTCAAGTCTTATATTAGGTGACCATTCATTACAGTTAGATAAGTTCTAAACTAAATAGTTATACTGTTGTGACTAGTATCTTATTCTATTAGGTATCTGTTTAAATACACTGGATTTGTTTAGAGAACAGAAATCAATTTACACTGTTACATTAAGTGAATGAATCGGTATCTCATGCTTCAGAGTAGAATTTTCTGTTTGTTGAATCAATCCTTATGAGCAGACTAAAAGAATAGTTCAAAGCCCAGGTCGATTAAATCTGGTTGGCCCTTAATCGCTGGTTAATGTTATAAACTCTGAACGTCAATGCAAGCAAGCGTGTTTGAGCGAAGAAAACTAAGCAGAGTTTGTGAGCAATACTTATTAAATCAAAATGATTAAATTTATCATAGTAATCACAGTTTTCTAAATAACTTTTCCAAGTTAATTGGTTATTCCCATACTGATATCTTCATTATCTTTAATAATGATTTACTCTCTGAAGCTGTAATAGTTTTGCAGAAGCCTAAATCTCGTCAATGTATTATTGGCAACATTACTGTCAAATGTTATGTGATAACTAGATAGTGCATCATAGTGCTTAAGATGATTGCATACTATTATAGTAATTATTCACAAGTTGTTTTGTCCCACTTTTAGGAAGTGTAGAAGATTATGATTATAACTTTATAAGCAGTAAATAGCAGTGAACTATTTATATAAGTTTTGTTTATGTAACAATTCATTTCGAAGAAAGCCGTATTCACCTGCTTTTTTATCCATATTTGAGTGCAAAACTAAATATAGCACTATCTGTTCTGGCTACGGTTATAGCACGCAGTTATTACAATTGGGCAGAAATGTATCCCTTTGTCTTTTACATATACATATATTTTTATGTGCAGAATCAAACTAAATAAAAACAAGTCTACACTATTTAAATAGTACGCTGAAAAATAAACACAAATAGGAATTTCGATTGTATGTCTGTTTAGAATGAATAACATTTGATTCACTATTTACATGGAAGATAGGAATTTTATTTACAAAATTGTGTGGTTGGTTAAATATTGGTCAAATTAACAAAACCATTGACAGAAATTGTAAAAAGATATTAGTGTATTGAAGTGTATAAATAAGACAAATTTTTGTATTGCAACCAACAAAAAGATGTTAGATTTTTTCCTCATATTACCTACCGTTAAATCTATTTATCTAAGCAAATTTAATATTCATCTTGTATTTTAGAAAGTAATTATAACTTTTACCATTCATGAATTATTCTGTTTATTTTTCTTATACAGACAAGAATGAAACCATTGTCTGATACCTTTTTATTTTTGTGTTTCTGTCATTTGTCCAATTATACAAATAAGTTGTGTTTTCTAATCATACTGACAGCTTGGCAAGGATAAATATGTGAATATTTGTGCGAATTGTTCATTTTTTGAAAGATACGTATTCTAATTGAAACAGTTTTGTTATATTCAAAGCAATACACACTATAAAACCCCAGTATCTTCGTGCCACCAAATGCCTTGGTATGGCCAAGGGTGGCGAGAGTCAGCTCTCGCTCTTCAAATGCTCTTACATGGCCACGCATATACAGCCAGTGCCGGAGAAATTTGACTCACCGCCTCATGGCAGGGGTGTTGTTTACCAAACTGAGAATACGAAAAGCGAATATCAGGCACTTTACCCGGGTTTGTGGACACGGAGGATCGACCTAGAGCAGTAGGAAAATCCTGATTCCAAACCGATGGTTCACACGTGCTCCAGGATCCTGAAGGAAAAATGGCATATTAACCTATTGTTGATCGCTGGCTTCCATGGGACTCCATCTTCTAAAGTCGCCTTATTGCCTTGTGGATTAGACCTTTAGGAAGAAGGCTCGTGATGTGATCCCCTAAAAAAACCACTTGCTCCGTTTTGTGCACCCGAACAGTATCACAGACCACACGCAAATCTACTGACTTGTTTACCAAATATGTATTCGGTTTCTCTTTGTACCAATGATTGTGTGTTCAAATAAATAAAATAAACAGTATCTTCGTAAATTTGAGAACATTGTAACTATAATATATAATAAAAACAAATCACACTTTATAATTCTTTGAATTTCTTCTCATTCTAAATCTATTGAATTAATGTGAATTAAGTCATCAGTACGTTTCAAAAAGTGGATTCATAATGATAAAATATTATTAGAAACCTGTAGATATTTCTAATCAACGTAGGAATAATTAAACACTAATGGTAATTTATCGTAATATCATTTTAAAAGCACTTTAATGTCTGGTTTAATGATTTTTATGTAGCATATGAAATGAAATTCCTTGTACTAGCATTATTTAAATTAAGCATTTAGATTTGAATAAGTGAAAAGTTGGAAATCAAAATGGTTATCAATTATAAATAATTTGAGAAAAGTTCTCGAAAGACGCAGTTCTCCAGATTTTTTTTCAATGTGCGGTTGTGGAGATTATTAAGTTTTTGATTGAGATCATGAATCGATTAATGTTAGACCACTACTGAGAACCTGGAAGCATTGGACGGCCGGTTCGTCCTATTGTGGGATCCCACTCGCAAGAGTCCAACCCAGGGCCTTTGGTTTCGCGCGCGAACGCTTAACCTCTAGACCACTGGGCTAGCCGGCATCCAACGGTGTTAATGTCTAACCTCAACCAGTCAACGAAATTGAACGATCACCTTTTATTGCACTGAGGTAGATTCCTGTCTCTGCCCGACACGGATTGGCTCCAATAGTCATGGCTTCTCACTAAAAATCAGAGAATTCCTTCACGAGGCTAGTTACTAGTGAGCACACGATAATTATCTGTATGGAATTGTGGAGACTACTAAATTTTTGATTGAGATCATTTTCATTTAAGTATTTGTTGTAGATTGTATACAATTTATTGAAAATTAATTTCTAATTTATTTCAGTTTGATAACAAGACGAAAGATTCAGTAGGTGTACATAATTATTATAAGTTAATATCTAAGAACAAAATCGTAATAAATACTGTTAGCAGTTTACTGCTATTTTTTCTGGAAAAGCAATGAATCAACATACATTGTACAATCCAATTGAATCAGTTTTCAACAGTTCAAATTCTAATTCACAGTTTCGGTTTGATTGTGACTTTACAAATTTTCTAACATTTTTACAGAACAATCAAACACTGAATTCTTTTTCATCAACAAATGTGCATTCCTCTTCTTGTCGAAATAAATTCATGCCAAATTGTAAAGAGTTATTTCCGTACACCATCGAAAACGGACGTACTTCTATGGATGATTCAGTTGATGTAACAGTAAAACAAAAAACATCAAATCACTGGGAGATCTTCGACAAATTTAGTAGCAAACTCAAATAATTACGCAAGAGATGATATGAAATTTAGTTATTTGTTAAATCAACATGATCACGCATTATATTCTCACTTGGAGAATAACAATACACAACCAAATCATTTTGACATATTAAGATCATTTTCATCACCATTAGCATCATCTTCGACATCTGTCACAACACAATCACCAATGACATCATCATCATTATTATTGTTATGGCTGAGCCGTTTAAATGAATTAATTTATGAAAATCCACAGGAGCTGACAGAGACTAATTTTATTTACAAAACTTTGACAAATTTATTATCCGAAACATCAACATCAAATTTCAGTAATGATGGTCACAAATTTGTCTTAAATAATTTAAACAACTGCCTTGATTCGGCAAACATGCAAAATCAGACAAAGCGTCATTCCTATTTATACAATAAGATGTACAGTGATCAGGAGCAAACTGGAAATTGTACACTGACTCCAGGAATAATACCTACAAACCACAGTAAAATTCGTGGTCCACCAAATGTAACATTTTCTAAATTATGGGATGATAATAAGTCTTTAAGTTGTGATGTTAAACTAAATGATGTATACAGTAAAAGTTGTAGGACAAATAGAGGTAGATATCAAGAGGAATTGAATTATTCACCGTCTTCATCAATAACTTCAACCGTTTTTCCTTTTTTCAATTCTTTAACGGATAGTAGAATGATGAGAGAAAATTGCAAAGAATTAAATGACAATATTGATAAAAAATCCTCATTTCAACTTGACAAAATGTGTACAGTTGACCGTATACTGTATAATGAAGCCAGTAAGTGGGATAACTTACTGAATAACAAAAGTATTACACATTTATCCGATTCACCAATACCATTCAATGCAGATAAACCAATAAATCTTATCAACTCAGGAAATAGTGACCACTGGAAACTAAATAATGAGTGTAATTTAAACAGATGTGTACGTCTTATTAATGGAGAGATTAAAATGAGAGAAGATTTATCAGTTTCTGACTTCATATCTAGCGCTATAAAATATGATAGTTTTAATAAATCTACATATGATAATGGTTCATTGATTGAAGCTTTAGCAAGTACAAATAATTTAGAAATGTGTTGGGTAAAATTAATTCAAATTAAAAATGATTTAACTAATAATAATATCAATTTATCAAGTGAATTAACATTTATTCAATCTTCAAAACGTCATCACTTATTAGTTGGTAAAAATGAAAAAAATTGTAGTAAACAAGCTTCACGTATGTTGTGGCCTCATTTCAATGCTAAAAGTTTTAATGTGAGTTACGCTGTGTTCCACAGTTTTATATTTGACTTGTTTTTCTTTTAAACTTATATATTCTGATCATTAATGTATCTTGAGATGGTGAAGAAGTTTTGTAGCTCAGGTGGATGATTTTGATGGAATTTTGTTCTCTGCGCTAAACCACAACCAAACCATCCAGCTCAGAGAACAATATTTCACCATTAATACCTCTAAGTGAATGAGGCAAAATTAGAATCTATTTCTCACAGTCAGTAATGATTTCATAATCATGAATTTATACAACAACCCGATAGGAAAGTAAATTGTTATACAGTAACAGATGAAATTATACAGTCAGTAGATATTTAAAGTTTGTGTAGAAAGTTAAATAATCTAATAGCCAAAATTTCAATTTCCACATAATCAAGCAATTGTAAATCAGAATAGAATATCAAATAATTTTATCAGTCATTGAAACCATTGGTATGAAGGTGAATTAAAGGTTAAACTAAATTATCTTTTTAAAAGATGAAAGACTTATTATCTTCAACTTTCAATTAATAACATCAATAAATGAAATGTAAATAACCTTTTCATCATCCAAGTAATATCCACTCTCAAGTGTCATTCCATCAAATGGATTTAAATAATAGAAAATAGAAATATGTACCAGTGGATTGCTAGTCAATAGTTTGAAGATTAGGAGTTTGAACACGAAATCGAAGATTCCGGTGTTGAGGGTCGACTGCACTGTCGTGGATATGTATATTTGAATGGTCCAATACTAAAATAAAATAACTGTCTGATAATTCATGGTTGTCAATAGATGTCTAAATTAGATTAGTTAGTGGTCTCAGTGACTTTAATTATGTTTATATATTGCTAACACTGTCTTATTCAAACAACGATTAACTTCTATAAATTATCAACTGATTTAATGTCTTACGTCAGATGTTACAACTATCAGCACAAGTGGGATGTATTACCACCACCCTGATTCTCGAGTTGTGGAAAAGTACCCTTTTATTTTCTGTATATATCCGTATGGAGGTAATAATCAAACCAATTCGATTTTTTGTGATATTCCTGTCGACTAAGAAGAAATAGTTTCATCATTGTTAAGGAATTTATAAAATGGATAAACGTTACTGATAGATGAAACTATGTTTTCACAAAGCGATGTATAACACTTTTCTGAAATAATCTGGATATATAAAATTCAACTTGAAAAATTTGAGTCGCGGACGCGAAACAGTCTGGGTTGTTAGTCTGAAAAATTCTTTTCCATGAAATGTTTTATATAGTGAGTAATATTTATACAAATGGTATATGAATTAAAATTACGTCTACAAGAAGACATCAAATGAAGTTCGTTCATAATGACAATAATGCCTGTCACTTGTAAAAAAAATATTCAGATTTGTTTTCTAGTGTTCCTCAGAAAAAAACCATCTGTTGTCCTAGGACCATTCACATGGTAATGATTCTCATACTTCACTCAGTTATACTGTATGACCTTAAATTCTCAATGTTGCTGAAGTCCGCGAAAGTTAAACTACTGGTTAATTTATCTATCTTGATCTTAGTAAAAGAAACTCAGTCGTTCAGTCGAGAAATCAAAACTGGCAGTAAATACAAACTCATATGTTCTATGAAGAAAGTTAAAAAGAGTAAACCCATCAAGCAAGTTACTTGTAACTTCAGGTTCAGAACTTTCGGAATTCAATAATTCTGATAAGTGCCTTTCATCTATAAAATACTAAGGAACAAGGGATAGCTTGACATGAAAAATCATTTTATATAAATCTACACCACGAACAGACATCAAGTGAAGTGGCAATAAAAATCACATAGGATTAGATGATTTTGTTCTAATATTGGAATCATCAACAAAATTTGGTTTGTGAAGAAAAATGTCTTAAAACTGCACCATTCCCGTTAACCTCTTGTTTTAATTTAGCACTCTAATGAAAAAATCAGATATTCCTAAAAATAAATTTAATTATTAGACCTTATGGAAATTAATGTTCTTTAGTATTTGGGGATAAATCAAGATTTCTTATTTTCACCGGAATCCTCGGGTCGATTTCTAGATCTAATCTAATAGTTAATAGCCTGTAATGCATATTATACACTCCAATAAACACCTTGATAGACTTTTGAGTTTCATTTTATCGCTTAAACATTTTCATTATCCCAATTTCTATCAATAATGAATAGTGCACTAGTAGGTATTCTAATGGTTCAAATAAAACAAATCCTCACATTGTCACTAGGTATCAAGTCTAGTTTGATCAAACTGTAATACAGCTAATCAGATTCAATGACTAGACATAATAATTCATTTTGTTTGTACACTTTTTTCCTACTTCTTTTCATTCATTTAAAATTTACATAAAAACCAGTTATAAACCTTAATAACAATCTTAACCAATCGTCTAATTAATAAGTTTAAAAAGGAATTCTATTTAGTATTTTGATTCTTTATTATATCTAGAATAGTTGTTTCAAAGCTACAAATCCATATGCTTTCCCATCGTTTCATATTACACTAATGAAGCAGAAACTTAATTGAATATAGGACTTATCAATAACCATTGTCTCTTCTTCTTTATAATAATAATAATACTAAACTCATAGTTATTAGTTTGTTCTCATAAGTCTTCTTATTTCTATCTCTATACTTATAATTCTATTCACAGTTAACTTAGATTATTATATTTCACTTGTTAGTGGAATCTTAAAACAAACAAACTAATTAGTGAGCTCATTGAAATAATGTTACTTTTTTAAAGAAAAATAAATAAATAAGAATGAACTAATTAATGAATAGAAATTATGATAATTGTGAATGTTTATTAAAGAAAATACTTTAAATATTCGAATATTAAAGTAGATTGTGAATCTTTTTGTTGAAAAAAAAGTAAACAAAAAAATTAAAAAAAAATAAAATTGATCAATAACAAATAAACAATTTCATTCTATTTGTATGTGTGTAACTAAGGGCTTTGTTGTTTCTCTTTTATTTTTTCCTTTCCCCCCCTCTTTTTCATTTCGAAAATTCTTTTCTTTATTCCAATAGTTTATTCTCGGACATAAAAAAAATAAAAAAATAAATTGAAACTAATAATCTATAATAATGAAAGATTTTCAACTTGATTATTCCTTTTTTTAAATTAAAATAAAATTATGGTTTCTATTCATTCATTATGTAACATCATTCTTATGTTCTTTCAAATACACAGACACATACACACACACACAAAATTGTTCTATAAATTGTACATTTAATTTTTATTTCTTTGTAAACAATAGAGAATTAATTTAAGATTCAATTAATAAACAAACAATGGAAAAAACGATGTAATTTTGTTGTTGTTTATTTTCATGTTTAGTGTAGATGTTTTATTTCCATGTTAAAAATACATAAGGCTTTTGTTTTATTTAAAATGTATATTGATTCAACGAATGATAATTAGTGATAGTTTAGTTACTTTAGTAATAAGGAATAAATAATAATCTCAAAACTTTTTCCCTTTTTTGAGACTATATATATATATATTGAATTCATGAGTCAATTAAAGTTAGACCACCATGGAAAACCTGGAAGTATTGGATGAATGTTTCATTCTAGTATGGGACTCCACAGCAGTGCGAATCTATGATACCGCTTCGCGAAATTCGAAACCAGGATCTATCAGTTTTGTGCATGAACGTTCAACCTTTAAACCACTGAGACAGTATCCAAAGGCGTTGATAT